CAGACAGTGTTCGTTTGAGGCACAGAATGTGAAGAAAACTTGGAGCTTTTTTCCAAAGACTAGAAACTCATGAAAATCCCAGGAAATCCAACAGTGCTTTAGTTCTAGTGAAGGAGGAGGATGTCTGATACAAGCCCCAGTGATTTGCTTTATAACCTCTTCTCAGGTTATTCAGAAGATGTGGTTTAAATCTGCAGGGAGATGTTTGAATGTGAAAATGAGGCTTGGGAATATCTGTTTCACTTTATTCTCTTCATTTGTTCATGGAGCATTTCCTTAGATACTCAAATCTTCCTCAGCTCCTTTCTTAAAGACACATTTGGAAGTGTCTTTCTTAAACATATATACTTGAATCTTGAGAAATTAAGCTTTTCCTTTTAATCTAGTCCAGAAGTTGGATTTCAGTGATCCTTGAGGATCCCTTCTAGCTCAGAGTTTTCTATGGTTCATCCAATGTACGTTGATTTAACGTTGCTTTTATTTTTAGGATAAACCGAAAAGCTCAGGGCAACTGATCTTCAACAGCCCTGATGCTCTCATCTGGGGTGGAGTCTCTCCTCGATTCCTCTGTGTCTGCTGTAACAGAGGAGTTGTACCCTGGGCTGCCAGAGAGCTTCTCCAGGGACCTGATGGCAGTGCCAGGGCCCAGCCTGGCCGTGGATGCGCAGTCGGACGGGCCGGTGCCCGTGCTGGCACACAGGGATGGGCCATGGACTTCTGCCCTGGGAAACTTCTGCCACAAGACACAGGATCTGGGTGACGTGCTCCAGGTGATTTCTCATGGGCCAGCAGAATCCTTTCCTGAAGAATTACTACAGGCTGGAGATCTTGCAGAGGATGAAAAAAGCAGAAAAAGACACTTTAGGAAATTAGACTGTTCTGGTGATGGGTACCAGAAAGAAGATGAAGAGGCACAAGGTGCTGAGGACCATCATGCTGAATGTTGTCCTTTAACTCTGGGGAAAAGTTGGTCAGAACAAGTAAGTGAATGCAGAAATGAATCCCTGCATGATATAATTTGAATTTAGGCTTAGAGTCACTAGGCAGTGGGTTTGGCAATGGGTTTCCTGGTTCTTTTTTGTGTCTTCTAGTATAGAATCATAAAGTGATTTGGGTGGGATGAGGACCTTGAAGGTCATTTTGTTCCAACCCCCTGCCATGGGCAGGGACACCTTCCACCTGACCAGGTTACTCAGAGCCCCCTCCAGCCTGGCCTTGGGCACATCCAGGGGTGGGTGTGTGTGTGTGTGTCAGTGCTGGATTATTGTGGCTCCAGTGAAAAATTAGACAATAATTCAGTAAACCAGCAGTATTTTAAAATACCAATGTTTTCACTCTCCTAAATACTGCTGGAATGGTGTAAGGCAGATATGTAACAGAAAAGGGTGCACAGCTGAGTGTTTTACCTTAACTATTGGGTGTTGCATAATTTTGTGTGTTTAATTCCAAATTTTGATATCTGTTTGATTTATCTGACTTTTTAAAAAAAATTATTTATCACTCTTGTGAAATTAAAACTGTTAAATTCCTTACAGTCATTCTGTTTTCAAGATTAATTTTTGCATATTTCCAAATGCAGGTGGTTTGGTTGTGGGATCATGGTTTGGTGGTTTTGCTGACAGATCTAGGTCACCTGTTCCAGGCTTTGTGGGTTTGAGTCCAAGGAATGGTAGAAGGCAAGTTCTAATAGAGACACATCTTCCCAGGAGTCTGGTGGTAGTGGTTTGGGGCTGTGAACTAGACATGCAGACTGGATTACTCTTCTCATTCCAATTTTTAACAATTTGCATTTTAAGCCATGTATACTTACATTTTGGCTGCCACATCACAAGACTTCATTGCTGATAAATACAGCAGTGGTTTGGGGATAAATCCTTTGTGCTTGTGTGAAGCCCTTGCAGTGCAAGGCTGCCTCTGGCCAGGGCTGATGTGTCTGGAGGTTTCTTAGTGAATTCCTTATTCTGAACTAACCCAGCTGAGCAGATGCAGTCCCTGAGACATGAGACACTTCACAAGATCTAACCATTTTTCTGTCTAAGCATAGCTAACCATGTCTGACCATGTTTCTGTCTTGTTTCAGGAGGACCCTCACCTAAATGAGCAAGAGGCAAAGTCTTTGAGAACCTATTGCACTGAAATTACAGGATCTCTGAGGAGAACAGGTAGTTATTTTAGCTGTACATCTCCATCCAGCTCCTGATTCTCTCCCAGTTATTTATTGTTGATTTCAAACAGATGAGTGATTGTGAGATGGCTCATTTAGAAAGTATTACCCTGTGTAACTGTAACCCTATCAAAATTAATGCTTTACTTTCTCCTGGCAGGGTATGTACTTGCCTCAAGACCTTTTCTGTAGATGTGTTTTAGTTATTTGTTTCCAAAGCAGAAGAGGTTTTTTAATAGCAGATGTTTTGTATTTCCTTTTGTTTCAAAGATGGAGTGCATGAGAGCAGTAATAGCACATATATATAAAAAACTATTACTCATTCATTTTTGAGTGTTCTAAAAAATACAATTGAAAGTGCAGAATCCAAAGAAAGAGGACAGTTCAAGTAATTATTAATTTCATTATAATTCCTCCATAATTTTCTAGCTCCAAGTACTTTGGTCACTTTGCCTGTATCTAGTAATTATTTTCTTTTCCCTCCCTGCTATCTTTACCTAAACTTGTGTTTAGCTTGCAAATGCCATCTAGTCTTGGTGCTTGCTAGGAAAGAGGGAAAAAATCTGCAGAAGTCTGAGTAAATATTTTCCCTGTAAAGTTTTGAGTATGAAGATATTCTACAGTAACTGTATTTTTTTTAATTAGCACCTTCCTTGTGATTTTACAGAAGAAACTTTATGAATAATCCAAATTGCTTGGGCAGATGAGATATGTCTTGTTTTCCTGTGGATGAGTTACTGACAGACATGTCTCCTAGGAAAAAGAAATGGAAATGGCCACACAATTCCAGCCCTATTTCTAGGCTGGAGCAGATCAAGTCCCAGCCTATGTTCAATTTTGATCTTACAAAGAAGCATTATTTTAATGTTGGCTTCCTGTGTGTTAAGTTACAGGACCTGCATTCACCTAGCTTGATGTTAGAGGAATCTGAAATGTGCAGGGCTTGGAATGCTGCTCATGGAAATGTCTGTAGTGAAAAGGATTGGTTTTGTTACCTTAGCATTGTGGTGGAATAGTTTGTTTTTTCCTCTAAAGACTTGTACTAAAATTGTTAGCATCAATTGTCACTTTTAAGAACATTTGGTAACCAACACTGCACAGAGTGTTGTGTGCAACAACAAAGGGTATTTAATAAGCTGAATGCCTTCTAAATTTAGCATATAGTTCTGATTTGCTCTATTTTTTTCCTTATGCAGAAGAAAACCAAGCAAATGTTCAGGTGACAGCTGAAACTCTGCCAAAGCTCACTGAACAAGTACAAGGTATGAAGGCTGATGGGACTAGGATATTTAGTAAAGCAGGATACAGGAGTGACAGAGTGAGTACAGGTCTTCCACCCGAGGGCAATCAAAGCCCACTCATGGCCAGAGCTGGGGTTTCAGAAACCAGCATCTTAGGGTTTTTAGGGCCTTTAAAAGTCATGGACGTTGGAGCAGCTGCAGATCATCCACAAAAAACAAGTGACTATGGTGGGTCAGAAGCCCGTGCTGCCACGCCCTTGGGAACAGGGGGGAGTGGTGTGTCTGTGTTGGAGGTCAGAGAAGAAAAGTTACCCAGACAAAATCCGCTTAAGGAATTCAGTACGTCATTTGGTAATTGCCAGACTTGTCAGCAGGATGAAGAAAATGATGCTTATGACTTCTTTAAGGGTCCTGTACCTGAACAAAAGGCACCTCAGGAGGTGTTCTCAGCAGAAAGCTGTAGAACACTCTCCACACAAAGATCTAAAGTTTTATGTCCTGTTCTGAAAAGCAGCTGTTATCTGGACTTGGGAAATGTGCCACCAGAAGGCAGTTCTGCAGTTCACAGAATTCTCAGTGAAACCCCCCAGAAGTACCTTCCCCAGAACATCAAACACCACACTCTTTATGATCACGGAACTGGGTTTTTAAAAAGCCAAACCTCCACATCTGCACCACTAGAGAAGATCTCAGTGGTAAGGAAAAAAGGATTATCTAGTGCAAGACCTGATCCTAGGGAATTAAGTGCTGCTATAGGAAGATCATGCAGCTCTGAATCTGAAGAAGCTGCTGAAGTCTGGAGAAGAATTGCTGTGGGAGATAACGTTGAAATTTGTAGCTGGCCTGAAGCTCAAAAGGCTGCTAACTCTGAGCAGTGTCATTCTCCAGTTTTTAGTTCTGTTGCTTCATCTCCTGAGGCGTTCTCAAAAGAAAAATTTAAAATATTCCCATCAGAAGGTGAGAAGCTGAAAAAGGACCAGTGGCAATTCTCTGTCAGTGACCCATGCAAGAATGATACAACAGAAAATAGTTTGTGTGTGGAAATGAGTACCATTGCTTCCCGTGAAACTGGGCAGAGAGACATCTGCTCTTACAGTACTGCCAACAAAATCCCTCCTCTCAGTAACCACAGCTGTCTTCAGCTTGGTACCAAGCTAGGAAAAGACTCACCCAGGGCACAACTGCTTGAAAAGGAATCTGGGAGCAATAAAACATCAGAAGAGTTGGCTGGTGGTTTAGCTGGAGCTGCAGAAGCTGATGGTAATAACAGATTATCCACTGGGAAGAAAACAAATTTGTTTTATACACTAAATGTAACTCTACCTCCTGTTTTACAACAATCAAGAGAACCTCATTATAAGGAGTGTCTTCCTTGTACTAATAATGAAGTTTCATGCAGGGACAAGGCCTGGGATAACTGGTCTAGAAAAGAATTAATTGCTGCTTCCGGAACACCAGTGGGAAAAGTTGCTGAAGTTTTGCTTCATAAAGACAAATTCAAGTCTTCTGTAAATTCCATGACTTTTGATAGCCCTAATACAGCAAGCAGAGTATCCCAAATGAATATAAAATCTTCTGCAGGAAATATGGAGAGAATGGTCATTGGTTTAGAAAATGAACATTGTCACACATGGCTTTATAATAACAAGAGTACAAAAAAACAGTGTACAGCTGCCAACACTTCCTGTACTTTATCAGGGAGTACATGTGGGGATGAAGTTTTCCTGAACAGTCAGTCTTTTGGTGCTGAAGTTGATAAGATTGAAGAAAATGATCATTTGGAAGGAGTGTCTTCATCAGGATATAACAGTAAAGAGGCAACGATCTTTCCAAAAGCACACACCCCTTTGGCACGGGGATCTCTTCTTTGGGAAAATGACTGGGGCAGCAGAGGTAGAGCTCTACATGGTACAAATTATATTTCCACAGGAAAAAACATGTTTTGCTCAGCATATACTGCAGAGAAGTCTGCTGCTACCTTGGCAAGAGGTGAGGTTTCAAATGAGAATATGGAGGTTGTGGAACAATTTGATCTTTGTAAAGCAATGTGCAGTGAAATTGTTTGTGACGGAGATGAGGCAAAAGAACACATTGGCATGTGTGCTTCCCAGATAGAGCAGTTTGATAAAACAAAAGCTGTGGATTCCCCCAATGCTCCTGAAGGCAATCAGAGAAATAGGACTCGTCAACAGCTATTCATCAGATCTAACAAAAACACCTGTGCTCATAATTTTGGATTTTACAACTCTGTGTTAGGCCCATGGAAGAGAGAACATGGGCAGGAAGAAATGCCATTGCTCCCAGCTGATCCCTCTGAGTGTGACCCACAGCCAGCCCTGGACAGTGGGAACGTTCCAACACAACGTGCTGAGGAGAGCCTTTGTCCCTTGGGAAATCCATTTCGTCCCTGTCAGAGTGAGTGTGATGTCCCAGTGCTGGGCAGTGAGCAGCATTTAGAAAGTTCAACCAACCAACCAAACTCTGGCTCACAAAGCACAACCGGTTCTGTGGAAAGAGACAAAACTGATCCCAATCACAGTGAAGAGGTTCTGCTAAGAACAGGTGGTGACCTGCCTCTGTTAGACCATACATGTGCAAGAGAAACCAGGTTTAAAGGAGCTGTACAAGGCAATGTAATGGGTTTGGACTCTTTAATTGGTGTGAAAAATGAAGATTCTTCACAATCCATGGACTCCATTAGTGATCTGATTGAAGAGAAGACAATCAGACTACAAGAACATGAGAACAGATGTGAAAGAAACAATAAAGGAGCTCTTGAAGAAAACTTTTCTGATGACAAAGCACAGTGCTCACAGCAGGCTCGTTTTATCCAATGTGCAAAAGAGCAAGCAGAGCTGGTGTTTGCAGGAAACAAAATGCAGCAATCTTTGCCAAAGATAAAGTGGTTGGTGGAGAACCAGGAAAATACAATTGGTGCTCAATTTCTGCCCATTTCATCAATTCATGGGAGTCTCTCACACAAGCCAGAAAACAGGAATTTGCTTTCAGATACAGAAAACAGAGAAAGTCTGAGTATAAATCCTATCTCAAACAACTTTCACCCACAGTTAACTATTGAGCCTGGTAAAGAAACTGATGCTCAAAGTGGCGTTGGTCCATCTCATTTTGGAAAGTTTGACATCCAGGAATCTTGTGTTGAGACTCAGGCAGATTCAGAAACTGTGTCAGCTCTGAACTCTCACATCTCTCTGCCTGAGAAAGAAAAGCTGTGTATGTCACCCAAGAGTACACAAAGAGATAATTGTCATTCATTTTCAGCTGAA